ATATATGTCTATGTATCTCAAAAGCCCAAAATTGCAATCAAAGTCATGCAAGAATTATTTTTCACATAGGTTTTGTTACTTAAACAAAAATTCTTCTACTATGAGGGCTCTTTAAGAACATAAATCTTATAGCTATAAAGAGAACACTGTACTACCTCATAGCCTTACAGTGAGAATTGAATGATGCATGTATATACGTCAGGGAAAAGTTGTTTAGTAGAACATTATTTCAACTCCAGCTATTGTAACACCAACTGGGTGTACTGCTCATTTCTGACATTAACTGCCCTAAAACAGTTAAGGGCAAAGTTCTCCACCCTGCCCTCATTTCTGACAGCAGCTGCTAGTAATAATACCATTGTAATAATCTGGTTATTATTTAACAGAAAAAGAGTAAAGGAAAAACTAGAAAATATAGGCATGCCATTTATACAGCTTTGCTAGTTAATTTAACACTCTCCAAATCTATCCCCCACTGACCCATGGGGGAAGGGACTGGACAAAGGCAGTTTGAAGGCATGCTTACTAAGGTCTCAGTGACATGGGAAGGTGCTTACCTGTCTCTCAGTCACACCTGTATTTCACTGCAATCACTACATAACGTACATGAGAACTGCATAACAAAGCTCACCTAATTCCCATTTCCTTCACACTTCCTGAAAAATGTAGGTTATAAAGAGACTTCACTATTATGTCTCTGCTGCCCTCTACAGAAATATGTCTTGGAAGACAATGGTAAAATAAATTATGAAAATCCAAACAGCAATACTAACCAACATGGAAAGTCACATCAGTAATCAACTACACTTGTTAAATGTCCTAAAAGACAACATTACAAAGACAATTTATTGCTATGGTCTTTAATTTCTATCATGCTTTTCTTCCAAGTAGTTGAATATGTAGTTAATCTGTATTCCAAGGAATACAACGTAAGTAATTAATAGAATTTGGGACATGAATTAGAATCTCATTTTGCCATTTATTAACTGTATCTTCATATCCTCATCTATAAAATAGGGTTATAACAATAATAACATCTACCTCACATGATCAGAACTTAGCAAAGTACTGACACATTGTAAGAACTCAGGGTTACTGTGTTTTAATGTTATTGCAATCACTATGACACTGTAACAAAATGGTCAGGACCACAGCCCAGAAGCTAGAGTGTCTGAGTTAGAATCCTGGCTCAATCACTTACTACTTTATAACCACAGGTATTACTTAATCTTTCTGGGCCTCAGAATCCTTATCTGGAAAGAAGGGATGATAAAACAGCTCCATTCTCACAGAGTTTTTGTGAGGTTTAAATACGCTAATGTATGTAGCAAAGCACTCAGGAGAGTGACCCACAACAAGGAAGCACGTGTATTAGCTGCTGGTGCTTTGAATGCAATTGCCTTTGCTCCAGGGAACCGGTGGAATCACATGTATAGGCAAATCGATCACATCCCTGGACGAGGGATTCACGACAGACCCGAATTATAATCAGTGCTTCCCAATGAATTAAAGTAGAACATGTCTTGTACAGTAAGTATCCACCCACCATAGGTATGTTTCATTTCTACAAGCATACTAGTATGTGAGGCAAAAATAGCCTTATAAGTTATATAAGAGATTTTGTTTCTGGAGAGCCAATTAATAGATACAAAACTCCTAATTATAATATAAATCTTCTCCCCTCCACTGTTATTTAATGTACATAGCTCATTAACACATTGTAGCTGACTCTGTCAACACCCTACTCATATCTCCTCCCCTATGTCTTCAGTGATGCTTGCTTGCCCTATTATCCAGCTTCCAGCTCCTTCATTTCTTTGCCTCCGGGCCCCTCTGATGGGATAATTCTAAGGCTCACAGAGTCTAAGAGCAGTATTAAGCTCCAGGCGCCCACAACAGTAACTTGCTTGATAATGACCCCTTGATTGGCTACTATTCCTTCCTGGCTCACATGCCCACTTCACTACCAGGAGATGTTCTCAGGGCATGCTTCTGCCTGAGAAATTCAAAGGCAAACAATAAACAACAAATAGAGGCAAGTCTACAAAAACTGCACATATTTTACTTCTTTCAACCTACTTGAAATATCAAATAAATGGAAGAGAATGGTTTTAGGTATTAATATAAGGAAGTATTAGGAAGTAAGTGCTGATGTGACTACATGATCCTGGGCAGAGGGTATGCAGGTATATGAGTTGGAATCTCCTGAGAGGCAGCTGCCAAGATAGCATCAGCTATAAAAAAAATCACTCAGAGAACCAAAAAGAAAAAACAGGAGGACAACTTAAGGGAGCTGTGGGACAACAGGAAACATACAATATTTTCATCATAGAAGTAACAGAAGATGAAGAAAGTGAGCAAGGGATAGAGAACCTGTTTGAAGAAATAATGGCAGAAAAGTTCTCTAACCTGGTGAAGTAAAAAGTCACATAAGTTCAGGAGGCACAAAGTCCCAAGCAAGAAGAACCTAAACAGACCCACACCTAGACACATCATAATTAAAATGCCAAAAATTAAAGACAAAGAGAGATTCTTAAAGGCAGCAAAAGAAAAGCAATTTGCTACCTACAAAAAAGCTCCCATAAGGCGATCAGCTGATTTTTCATCAGAAACTCTATGGGCCAGAAGGGAATGGCATAAAGTATTCAAGGTAATGAAAAGCAAAGACCTGAAACCAAGATTACTGTATCTGGCAAGGCTATCATTCAAAATAGATAGTGAAATAAAGAGCTTCCCAAACGAAAAAAAAAGGCTAAAGGAGTTTATTACCAAGAAATATAAGAGGTAAAGGGGCAGGAAAAATATTTTTTTTTAAAGTAGCTGAGCCTGGCCAGCGTGGCTGTGGTTGAGCATCTACCTATGAACTCGGAGGCCATGGTTCTATTCCTGGTCAAGGCACATGCCCAGGTTGCAGGCTCGATCCCAGTGTGGGCCATGCAGGAGGCAGCTGACCAATGATTCTCTCTCATCATTGATGTTTCTATCACTCTCTCCCTCTCCCTTCCTCTTTGAAATCATAAAAAATATTTTTTTAAAAAAAGAACGAGAATAACTCAGGCTTCTTGACACTAACTATGGAACTAGAAAACAATGAAGCCTTCAAAATTATGAAGACAAATTATTTTCAACCTATAATTGTATACAAATTTTCAATCACATATCAAAGATGGTAAATCCATTTTCTGATTTGCCAAGTCTCAAAAAATTATCTTTCACAAATCTTTTCTTGAAAGGTCCTATAAGATATGCTCAATCAAAATGAGAGTGAAAACCAAGAAAGAGGCATACATAGAATCCAGGATTAAGTTGCTCCAAATAAGAGAAGATAAAGGGAATTCCAAGAAAGAGAATGAAGGGAGACCTAAGTAGTAATGGTCACAAAGCAGAGAGGCTGCTGAGTTCAAATTAAAGCAGCAAGAAGGTTGTGGGGAAAAATTCTCCACTAAAACAAATACAATGGTAAAAAATTAAAGTTTTATTAATGATAAGTAAAACCAGGAAAACAAAACCCCCAAATAATTAACTAAAGAAAATAAAAAGTTGTGAAGAAAAAGTAATCATAATTAATATTTGCCTTTGTTACAAATATTATGTATTCACACGTATGTAATGCTTAACATTAATCTAACCAAAACATGATATATATGTTCTTAAAAAATGGAGGGATGGGGAATATCCAGTGGGTAGCTGGTGGTGAAAAGTGGGTGAGGAGAAGAGAACTCAGTATTTATTAGCTCCCAGGAACAAGCTGGAATTACAACTGAAATAGAGAAAGGCTTCCTGAATAATCAATGTAAAACTCACAGGAGAGAACCCTGATACCCAAGGACCGAAGGTGGAGATCACATAGAGACTGATAGGAGGGGTGGAGGTGCGAAAGTGCTGGCCGGACACCCACAGATGGCAACTGAAGTCCTGGAGAGGTATCTCAGCTGTGGGGGAGCCACTTAGAACTCTGGGATCTAATCCAATTAGTCAGAAACAGCCTTTAACACTGTCCTGCACTAGAGATTGAAAGGTGTAGAGGATCCACCTAATATATAGTCACAAACCCAAACAGACAACCATAATGAGGAAACAAAGAAACAACCTCCAAATGCAAATTCAAAATAAAGAGTCAAATAAAGAGCTTCCCAGACAAAAAAAAAGGCTAAAGGAGTTCATCACCACCAAGCCAGCATTACAAGAAATGCTAAAGGGCTTGCTGTAAGAACAAACAGAGAGAGAAACCTAGTTATACAGAATTAAAATGGCTATAAATAAGTACCTCTCAATAATAACCCTAAATGTAAATGGAATAAATGCTCTAATCAAAAGATGTAGGACAGCTGAATGGATACAAAAACATGACCCAACTATATGCTGTCTACAAGAGACCCACCTCAAAACAAAAGACACATACAGGATGAAAGTGAAGGGATGGAAAAAAATTTTCCATGCAAATCGAAAAGAAAAAAAGCTAGAGTAGCAATACTCATATCCGACAAAATAGACTTTAAAAGCATCATGCTAAGCAAAGTAAGCCAGTCAGAGAAAAATATCACATGATCTCACTCATTTGTGGAATATAATGAACAACATAAACTGATGAAAAAAATAGAGCCAGAGGGAAAAATATATTCTAGAATATGATATAATTAATCCTGTTATTTGCAGATATTTAATATTTCCTACAAATTTTGTGATATCATACTATGTTAGTACAGTTTTGGTAATATTATACTTAAAACCCTTTTATTCTTGAAATATTAATGTTTACTGCATGTAATATTATTACATGTAAGATCATTTTTCTTGAATAACTAGTGTTTACTGCATGTAACATTGTCATAAAAAATATTTATCTATGTTTAGAAATACATTACAAGCATGTTATTTAGAGATAAGGAGGTAAAGTGCAAAAGAATCCACGAGGAGTTAAAAGTTGCTACCCTTGAGGAAGGATATGATTAGGAAATGCCATAAATAGAATAAAAATTTTTGCAACAATTCATTCTTACCTTAGGAAGCTCAGATACTCTGTCTTCACTTGTCAAAGAATGACTGCTTGCACAAGAAGCACAGTCTGATATTTCCACGGCACTCTCGCCATCCTCCACAGCACTCTCACTGTCTTCAAATTCATTCTCATCATTAGTATCTTCCCTGTCACTGTCCCTCTCCCAGTCAACAAACTGCAGTTCATCTAGAAAATAATTTTAAACTCAATTTTATATGTTAAATACAATTTTAAACTCAATTTTATTTTTTTAAATTTATTCTTTATTCTCAACAGTTAAAAAACATGTTGCTCAATAATTTAAAAATATATTAAAAGACAGTGAAAAGTATATTCTTACTCTTCTCTCTAGCCATCCTGTTTCTCCTAACTCTTATTCCCACTCCAATTCTCATGTATCTACTTTTATTAGTAGTTTCTGTATCCTTCTATGGTTTCTCCAGCACGTTAAAGCAAATAAAATATAATCAATTTTCTCCTTTCCGGTATACTATGATCTGTTTTTTACTTAAATGATGTGGAGGTTTTTCCACATCAGTAAATAGGGAGCCATCCCAATTCTTTTCTATAATACTAGAGGCCCAGTGAATGGATTCATGCACCAGTAGGGTCCTTTGGCCTGGCCTGCACCCCCTTGCAATCCGGGACCCCTAGGGGCATGTCAGACTGCCAGTTTCAGCCCGGTCCCCGCAGGCCAGGCTGGGGACCCCACCAGTGCACGTGTGCACTGGGCCTCTAGTATGCCGATAAGATATTTGATTAATCTCTTCCTGCCCTCCTCCATCCCCCCTTCCCTCTGATATTCATCAGTCTGTTCCGAATTTCTATGCCTGTGCATTGAGCATCTGCCCCCTGGTGGCCATTGCACATTATAGATACCAATCGAAGGGTATATGGGTCATTTATGCAATGGAATACTATCCTATATAATATAGGTCATTTATAAACTATGGGTCATTTAGTTTGGAATGACTGGTGGAACAACCATTGCATAAATGACCCATATATAGAATAGAGGCTGGGTGCATGAAATTTGTGCACAGGTAGGGTCCCTAGGCCTGGCTGGTGATCAGGGCCAATCAGTGGGGCGACCGGTGGGGCGATCAGGGGGCCCCCACTGGCACCCACCTTGGCCAGCCTGGTGCCGCCTGCTCGCCGGCCCCACCCCCCCACTGCTGCCACCGCTGCCGGTCGCCTCCCTCTGCGGGGCAACCAGCGGGGCGATTGGGGGGCCCCCACTGGCACCCGCCTTGGCTAGTAAGATATCTTGGCCCTATTTCAGAGGTCTAATAGCAATATTCTCACTTCCAGATAGAAATAAAATTAAAAATATAAAACTTACTAGCTTTAATATCTTAAGGGAATTCAGAATAAAAACAAAAAAAGAAAATATTTAAGCTATAGTTAAAAGTATGAGATAAAGTAAACAAAACAAAAAGAAATAGTATTCTTTAATCTGATACTGTTGTTCAGAAGATAAGGTAAAAGTCAACTATAACAGTTTCAAAAAACTGGAGGTCCAGTCTTGGAGAAGCAGATGCATGGTGGCAATTATTTCCTCGTATCTACCATCACATTTACTCATGGAGGCTAGACACAGGAATGCGTAAGAAACTCTCCCAGTTGCTAAGCCATCACACCAGGAAGCCATGGAAAGCAAGGGGAAGGGCACAAGTGTCCTCAGAGTTAATGGCCCTGCCGCCAGTTCAACACATTTTTGTAGCATTCATTCATTCAGTCCTCTTTCATTCAATAAAAATCAGGGTACAAAGGGCCTATCGTGCCGTTCTAGACCCTCACAATAAAATACACACACACACACGCACAAAAGAGAATACAGAACAGTGTTTCTAACTTGGGGAAGTTCACAGATGAACACTGATACTGCTGTAAAATGATCTATCATGACCAAGACTAACAAGACTTTTCACTTGGTCACAATAATTTTATGAAACAGGCAAGATAGTTGCTGTTAGGCTAAAATGTGCATTTCACAGGTGAGGAAACTGAGTCTCCATAAAGTGAATACATTTTTCCCAAAGTTACATAAAAGACAAATCAAGAGGAAAAATTTTTTAAAGAAAAAAATATTTTGACAATTTTAACTCAGGGTTCTTCTCTGCCCTCTCAATCACAATTCCGGGCCATAAAGCCCAGAGACTCTAATCCAATACAGCTGAAAATATCGTTTTTAAAGCTCACCGAGTAATTCTGATAAGAAGCCAGGTCTAGTAACCACCAGAAGAGTACTGAAGAACACAGCATTAAAGTTAGATATTCCTGGCTTGGGATATCAATTGGCACATTTATTAACTATGTGACTCTGGGCAAGGGACTTGACTTCTCTAAGTTCAATTTTCTTCTGTAAAATCAGAATACTTAAATCACAGGATCTAGCAGATATCAAAGAAAATAGCATCATATCCAGCCAAGTGTCTGAGATAAAAAATACCTTGATAAATGGTAATTAAAGGGAAAAAGGACAGAGGAAGAAAGGGAGAAGAGAGAAGAGAAAAAGCTAATCAAGAAGTTGTACACATGAATAGACAATCTTCAAGGGATCATTTGCTTGTTAGCTAATGATCAACTTATTGAAGAGAAGTCAACAACTTCCTAACTCATTTTAAAGCAATTAGCTCAAAGCATCCTCCCATTCTTTAACAGTTTTGGAAACTACTGAGTATTAATATAAAAGATCTTTTCATACAACAGGACAAGATACAGTATTTTAAATACCAGTTTTACTGAGATGTAATTCACATACCTCACTATTCATTCATAAAAACATATAGTTTTTAATAATGAAATTATGTTCTGAGATGCATGAAGACAAACCAAGAGTTATATGACAATGAATTTCATTTAACATGGCTGAAATAGCAATTCTGAGTTTAAGTATAACCTTAAAATACCACTTTATCTGGCTATTACTGAAATGTCAAATGATAGTTACCAAGATGTCATACAAAGTGGCCAAACGAGCATAGTCAGCTTCCACAGGAGCTGTCTGTACAGAGCCTTGACTTAGTAACTAAATAACGTGAACTGTCAAAGTAACAGTGAAAAAGAAGTCAAAGCTTATGTTGAAAGCATTAAAACTTTTATCTACTCTTAGATGAGCTATATATTTTAAAATATGGAAAATATCATGATTTCCATAATCTTAAGTCTGTGGTTCCCAACTGGGGTGTGAACTGTACTTTAGGGCAGCGGTCGCCAACCGGTGGTTCGTGGACCACTGGTGGTCCATGAGGTCCGAAAGGTTGGCGACTGCTGCATTAGGGGACATCTGACATCTAGAGACAATCTTGGTTGTCACCACTGGGCCTGGGAAAGCTGCTGTCACCTAACGGACAGAAACCAGAGATACTGCTAAATACCCACAATGCACAGGAAAGCTCCCGTCCCAAACAAATAACTCCCTCGCTCCAATTGGCAACATGCCAAGACTGAGAAACTCCGTTTTAACTGTCAAAAGCAGGATATAATATAAAACGCCATCAGAACAGATTTAGTAGTAGTCACACTTCCACCACACATTAGTTGCCATAGTATTTATCCAAAACAGGTTAGCAAGGAGGCAATATGGGTGTAGCATTAAGTAGTTAGTTGAGAGTACTGGCTTTGCCGTCAAAGAATGCCAAAGTGGAATCCAAACCAATTCTCACATGTTCAAGCCTAAGTTGTTAACTGTAAAAATTCTAATGGTAATACCTATCTCTTAGAGCTATCATGAGAAATAGTAAATGAAAAAAATATTTCTAAAGGGCTTAGCCTAGACGTTGGGACTCAGTAAGATCACACATAATCAATGCTAAGTATTAGAAAAGGAATGTAACTTTTTTCCAAGATTGAACCCAATATTTAATAGAAACTAGATTTCTTACAAAATTATCAATTTACCTTCACTGGCTCCACGTTCAGAACATAAAATATTCCCATTACAAAACCTGTCTATTCTAGAACCATGTCCATTCCCTCTCTCTGACTTAGAAAGTAGTTACCTTCATCTGACTGATCACTTCCACTGGAGCTCCAAGTTATATCTGTAAGCCCACTGGCACTCTTAGATGTGGTAGTTTCTGTTAAAGAAAAAGAAAATACATAAAAAGCAATCACCTCATAGAGTTATCAGAGTGAGATTTAATGCATGTTCCTTTGACGAAGTTATAAATGCACAAAATTCTGATGCTAGCGGGGATAACATCTCATGTCAGATCTTCCTGCCTACTGTTCCATGTGCAACCTGGGTTAAACTTCTCTAAAGTAAAGTCATATTACAAGAAGAAAAAGAAGTAGAAATGATTGAAATAAGTTACAAAAGACAAGAAAAATGACTGGAGCACAAATACAAATTCAAAAAAAATAACCTTGAAATAATTATGGATTATATGATTTCCTTCCTAGAGTATTTCATTAAACAAAAACAAAAACACAAATCAGAAACTACAAAATCAAAACTTATGTATAATAGAAATGTGTCTGTGTGCCTCCTTTGCCATACTAAGAGCGCTGGTAGCCCCAGTGTGCTTAAAACACTTAACAGCAATTCTTTTCAATTAAACTTGTTATTTTGAAATAACACTAAATTAACATCTATATATATAAAACCCTAATATGCAAATAGACTGAACGAAACAACCGCACAACTGAACAACCGAACCGCACAACTGGTTATTGTGATGTGCGCTGATCACCAGGGGGCGGTCGTGGAACATGGTGGGCCTCAGCAGCAGGCGGCAGAGCGCGAAACATGGCGGGCGTTGGCCGCGGCGGGATGGTGGAGCAGGTGAGCAGGGGCACCAGACCAAGGCGGGGAGCCGGTCACTGTCATTGGGGCGAGCCTCTGGTGGTTACTGAAAATTCTTTGCTCCCATGTGCTGCGGGCCCACCCAGCGCTCACACCTGCTGCCAGTGCCGATCCTGCTCGCACCCACTGTTGGCACCGGAGGCGCCGCTCGCGCCCGGTGCCAGCCCCAATTGCTCAGTACTGTCAGTGGGTGCGAGCAGCAGCTGCCAGCCCCGATCGCCCCTGAGAGCTTCTCCACTGCCCCCTGCTCCTGATGGGAGATCGGGGCAGGGCCGCCCTTGCATCTGCTGATGGTGCTGGCCCAGCTCGCATCCACTGCTGGCGCCGGTCTCAATTGCTCCATTCTGTCAGCGGGTGAGAGCAGGGGCGGCGCCGTCAGGGCATGGGAGTGGTGACGGCAGGAGCGGGGCTGCGAGCAGACAGGGGACTGGGGGCTGCAGTGGGAAGGACTAGGCGGGGGCACGGAGGATGGACCGAGACCCGCCCCTGTGCCCACCGCAGCCTCGCAGCCTAGTTCTTTTCAAGGTGCATGATTTTGTGCACTGGGCCTCTAGTAAAGTTATAATAAACTAGAGGCCAGTGCATGAAATTCATGCACGGGTAGGGGCCCTAGGCCTTGCCAGTGATCAGGGCCAATCTGTGGGGTGACTGGCAGGGCAATCGGGGCCCCCACTCGCACCCACCTTGTCCTGGTGCAACCCACTAGCCGGCCGCACCCCCCAGCACCACTGCTGGTCGCCATCTGTGGGGTGACCTGCGGGGCAATCGAGGCCCCAGCTCACACCCGCCTTGGCCTGGCTCCTCCAGCTCACTGGCCCCGTTCCCCACCATGGTGACCGGTGGGGCAACTGGTGCCCCCGCTCACACCCACCTTGGCCTGGCGCTGCCTGCTCACCTGCTCCACCGTCCCACCGCAGTCCCGCTCTTGTCAGGAGCCATCGGGGCCGGCAGCACCACATCGCCTACTCCTGCCATGTTCCACGCCACCCCCTGGTGGTCAGCACACGTCTAACTCCTGGTCAGTTGAACTCCCTCCCATGGGGACAATTTGAATATTAGCCTTTTATTATGTAGGAGGATAATAAAGAAAACTCTTGTATTCCTTCCCCAGTTCCTTAATTCATAACATTTTACAAAACTATATATCATTACAATCAGAATGTTGATACTAATACTAATCACCAGAAAGATAACTTATATTACATCTTTATTTTCACTTTGAGAGTACATTTATTAAAGCTGGGGCCAGTGAAACAAGGAAGGGCAACAGGAGAAGACTAGGCGGAGCTGCTCTGGCTCTTCAGAAACGTTATGGGGGAAAAGCGAGCAAGGCAAAGCTGCTGTCAGCGCACTGGGCAGTGAGAGAAAAGGCGGTCTTGTGGGCACGTTCAGGGGTTTGGCCTTGGACAAGCTACCGCTACCCATTGTTCCCCTGGTTGCAAATCTCGTAGGGCCCCTCAGAGTTTAAGAGATGCATGCCTATGGGGGAATAAAAGGGAGAAGGATAAGGCACAGATGTGCTCCTGGGAAGAAAAGCATCCTGGGTCCTTTGTCTTAAAGGTTTTAAAGGCTGGGGGATTAGGGAAGGTCTTAGGGGAGAATCTCAATAGAATATTCATCAACTTATGCTGATGTGCCAAAATGAGATTTATTTCCTTAACTTCATCTGTCCTTGGTGTGTTTGGCACAAATGGTACAAATTGGATTTCTGCTACCTATCTTCATGAGTATGGTGATTTTAAGCTTTTTACCCTGATTGGGGAGAAGTGTGAACCATTTCTCTTAAGAGTCTTTGGTTACAGAAAATAGGACTTTGCAATTTACTAGATGGCTATACACTTCTTGGCCATTTAACGACACGTCTCAGTTTCCTTATTCCACTTGGCCTGGCTGCAGTCTGTCTCATTCACCCCCGAGAGACTTCCATCCTTTAAATCTTTTAGGGGTGATAAGGGAAGACAGTGTGTATTCATTAACTGCTTCCTGCTGACAAGGGCTGTGGTCCCTGCCTGTGTAGGGGATGGAAGTCTCTCGGCCTGAGCTACGGGGGCAAGGGAGTGGGATCCGAGACTGGAACAGAGAGGCTGTTAGCTGATTCTTCCAAAGTAGGAAAGGCTGGAATCCCTAAAGCATCATCATCTTGATATGGCATTGTTGTGTCATTCCAGAAGCAAAGTTGGTAGATTGCTTCATATTTCACTGACTCAGTTATGTTGTCCTGAAAATAAGTCCGTTCAGTTCAATTGACGAGTCTCATTTCAGGAGGTGGTGATGCAGGTGGGCTCCCAAACTGGGACCTGGAAAGAGTGCCATGACCATGTGAATAAGCAAGGTACCAGGCATTTCTCCAAGGGGCTCTGATCAGATTCAAACTCAATCTTAAATCCTTAAAGCTGTCCGGTGACATCCAGAGTCCCGGCATGACTCTCTCCATCACGACATTCCAGCCAGTCCTGGTTGATAAAACCACAATTGGAAACTGGCTTTATGTGTCGGAGAGGGGTGATAAGGTGATCTGAGTCACACCACCATGTTACCGGTGATGTTAATGACAAAATGGCACCACTTGTAACCCACGAAGGTGAAAGTTACAGAGGTAGTAGAAGTGAGCCCGCTGGACTGTGTAGGCTTAGGAAATAAATATCTGGATTACCAGAGAATGTTACCTAAGGGGACTGTGCCAGGAGCAGGTGTGGCTCAGGCTGAAGCATGTAGGTTCATGGGTTCTTGACTTCATGCAGGAAAGGTTTCACAATACGAATGCGGGTTATTTTGAATACGTTTATTAAAGCTGGGGACAGTGAAACAAGGAAGGGCTTACAGTAGAGAGACTCAGAGGGACTGCTTTGGCTCTAGAAGTGTTATCAGAAAGAAGTGAGCAAGGCAAGGGTGCTGTCAACTCACTGGAGAGTCAGAGAATAGGGGGCCTTGGGGACAGGATCAGGGGTTTAGCCAGGGATGAGCTACCTACATTTTTTTTTTAGATTTTATTTTTCAAATACTGTTTACATTCAATATTTTTCTATATTAGTTTTAAGTGTACAGAATAGTGGTTACACAATTATATAATTTACTAGAGGCCTGGTACACAAATTCATGCATAGGTGGGGTCTGCTGGCCTGCCCCAATCAGGCTGATCAAGCTGGATGGCTGGAGGGAGGGACTGCAGGCGGTTGGTCGGCCTGGCCCCCCATCAGGGTGTGTGGGGGGGCTATCAGGGGCAGGGCCACTGGGGGAGGGGCCATGAGCAGTTGGCCAGCCCCACCCACTGGTCGAACTCCCAGTCGAGGGGACAATTTGCATATTAGTCTTTTATTATATAGGATGAGGTGATCCTCCAAATAATTCAGGTACCCACCTGGTCCCCTATATATTTACTTCAATATTATTGACTATACTAGGGGCCCAGTGCATGAATTCAGACGAGATCGGGTGCGTTCAGGGTGGTATGGCCGTAGACGCAGTGCATGAATTCATACATCTTGAAAGGAACTGTGGGCCGCGAGGCTGCGGTGGGCACAAGGGTGGGTCTTAGCCCATCCTCCATGCCCCTGCACAGCCCCTCCTGCCGCAGCACCCGGTCCCGTCTGCGGGCAGCCCTGCTCTCGCTGCCGCCACTCCCACATGCTGACGGTGCTGGTCCTGCTCACACCTGCTGACAGTGCAAAGCGAATGGGGCGGTCAGCAGGTGCCAGCAGCGGCTGCTGCCTCTATCACCCCTCAGGAGCAGGGGGACGTGGAGAAGAACTCAGGAGCAATTGAGAAGCAGCAGGTGCGAGCGGCAGCTCTGGCAGCGGGTGTAAGCAGGGCTGGCACCAGCAGCAGGTGCGAGCACCTGGCGGGACCACAGCACGCGGGAGCAAAGAATTTTCAGTAACCACCAGAGGCTTGCTCTGATGACAGCAACCAGCACCCCGCCTTGGTCTGGTGCCCCTGCTCACCTGCTCCACCATCCGGCCGCATCCGGTGTAAGCAGGGCTGGCACCAGCAGCAGGTGCGAGCACCTGGCGGGACCACAGCACGCGGGAGCAAAGAATTTTCAGTAACCACCAGAGGCTTGCTCTGATGACAGCAACCAGCACCCCGCCTTGGTCTGGTGCCCCTGCTCACCTGCTCCACCATCTGGCTGCACCCGATGCCCACCATGTTCTGCGCTCTGCCGCCTGCTGCCAATGCCTGCCATGATCCGCGCGTGCCCCCTTGTGGTCAGTGCACGTCATAGTGAACGGTTGTTCGGTTCCAGTCTATTTGCATATTAGCCTATTATATATA